GAGGAAGGTCCATCCTGTGAAAAAAACGATTAACCTTTACAGGGGTAATTGTGAGGCATAGCTCAGGATTCTCCGGCATTGTCCACAACCTGCTAAGCTAATTTTTCTGCTATAGTTCAGGGTGTTAACACATGTCTACTATATTAGCCATTTTAGCTATCTTAGCCCATATCGTTTCCTATATTACATTGCTGTGGCATCATAGCTTTTTCTATCCCAATTACTTGCAAAAATAACATTTATTTATTTTTATAATATTTGGTTACATGGCAAGGATATTTACATGAACTTCTTTGTATCTATTATTTAAATTAAATACCTATTAAATATTGGCCATGTTAATATTTGAGTTAATTGGTAGGGCAACAAACTATAAAATTGTATTTAGAATTTACATATATGATAACATAGCAGTTTAATCTACTATTATCAAATAGGTAACAATAAAAAGAAACTGTTCTATACTCTTTATACTCATCTAGGTATGCAAAAGGCTATCCCCCTTACTCTCCTTATATTGGAAGTTCTCCCACATTTTGCCATCTGCTGCATGAGAGAGTGCCATTTTGTTGCCTCCGACTAGATAAGGTAAACATTTTAATACTGGGTAGAACTATGCATTAAGTCTTGTTTGTTATGGGTGAATATAGTTTTGGCGTTGCCTACACTTACAGATAATCTTTGTTCAGCATCTGTGTAACCTCACCCACTGCTGATTTAGATTGTCACCAGAATATTTTTGTCATGTATATTAAGCTGATGATCTTTACCTTTTTAAAATGTGAAAAGTCATCTCTAAGGTCATGGTATGGTTTCTTATTAACTGCCACTGAATTCATATTTTCTCTTATGATTTTAGGGGTGTCAACATAACTACTATGAAGATGCCAAAGCCTATGGATTCAAAAATAAATTGATTATTGTTGCAGCAGAAACAGCTGGAAATGGCTTATACAATTTTATTGTTCCACTCAGAGCCTATTATAGACCAAAGAAAGAACTTAATCCCATAGTGTTACTACTCGATAACCCGTAAGTGGATTTTTAAGAAAATGTATTACTCCATAAATAAGTGCTTGATTCACATTGTGTGCATTACACTTACATTTCACATGAACCATTTTAATCAAAAACATTATGGTACATAGATCTAAGTGAAAGGTTGATGACAAAGATGGTATCGGTTGTGTGAGGGACTTGAGTTAGTTTTCAGTGAAGTCAATGGGATTCTTTGACTCATACTGGCTTCAGCATGGTAATATAAAATGTAAAGCAAAATATCTAAAAATCTAGTGCTGTTTAACTCTTTTGGTTGCAAAATTAAATAAACTTAAACCATTAAAAACAGCAAATCTTAAATGAACTATTTAAGTTATAGCATGTATTAACACATTAGAGAATCATTGCATTCAAAAGTTTTTTTTTCTAACTTTATTCTAGTCATGGAGTTGGTCCAGCAAAAGAGATCACCCACAAACATCGTAGATGTTCATATAATTTCTGGACCATTGCAATTACAATATCACCCCAGCACTACTTAAAACATGAAAAGAAGACTGACTTCTCTATAACAGGCTATATCTATTTTTGTTCCCAATAATTCACACTGCTGACCTGAATTAGGGATCAGTTTTTTTTTAATATAAAATGCACATTTTTGCTATTTACTTCACAGATAATCATAATAATAAACTGAAAATGCCTTTGAGAAAACATGCCTGTCTACTGATAGTCA